AATACAACCACCCATAAGGTTGAAGTTTACCTTGAAAAAGAAGCAATCGAGATTTGGGGATGAGAAACAATCGAGCTCTAGGGAAGTAAACCAATACCAATAAAGAAACCATAAAGAATCGATACCTAATGAGTCAAAAACAAAGAAGCAAAAATCGATGCAGACCATAAATCAATCAGAAGCAATGGTCGAAACCCATGAGGTTGAAGCTTACCTTGAAAGAGATGCAACTGAGCTTTGGGGAATGGAAGTTGACGGTAATTATAAGAAATACGGAGTCAAAACCGCCCATTAGATATGCAATCAACAATACCTATATTCTCTTTGAAAAAGATAGATTCTAAGGAAGTTAGTTGGATTAAAGAGATTGTAGGGATGAGTAAAGATTTCAATGAGAGTGGTATGCTTTAAAAACATGTACATACGCATAATTAACTGAAATTTTAAGTAATGTGCATAAATTAATTGTACTTTATGCATAGTAATTCGTTTTTAAGAGAATGAACCAAATGCTTTATAATACAGTATTTGTATATATGTTAACAATTTTTTTAATATATATGAGTAAAAAAATTAAGAGTTATTTGTTTGTAAAATTGTAAGTTTGTAGTTGTTGAAAATGAGTTTTACAAAATATAAATGTATATAAGTTGTTAACGTGACTGATGAACCAATTAAAATGGTCATGATGCACATGAGATGGTTTAATATTACCAAAATTGACATGGTCATGATACATGCATTTAGGGGTCGTTTACCAAATGCTTATTCGGTAAGCGCTTACCTATAAAATTTAAGAGTATCATTTTCTTACCAGGGTAGATTTTAGTCTATCAAAACGGTATCGTATGCAAAAAAATTATCCGGTAAGTACTTACCGTGGTAAGAGTTGTAGCCCTCACTTACTGGGTAAGACTCTTTGTCCTTGTCTCGCTCTTATCGGGTAAATTTTTGGTCCTAACTATATTCATCCGGTAAAGTAATGTGACTTGATACTCACTTACCCGAGTAAACGTTTGGTAAACACCCCCATTTTTTTTTTCTTTTCATATACGTACTCTCTTAGGAGGAAAAAGAAATACACAATATTGAGTAAACGGGTGAATTTTTCAGGCTTGTTTTAAAAGTGTTCCCGTTTCCCAAAAAAGTAGGTCTATTCCACTAGGTGGCCAGTCTTTAAGGGATTGGACCGATCGCGTTAATAAAGAAACGTTTGCGTCATGATTAAATTTAGCAGATCATATCAATCTCTTCACTAAAAAGAAATATGCAAACATTAGGCATCATTGGATTCAAGATGTTTACATCGTGGATGTACGAATGGAACAACCTTAAATCTGAAAGAGATCTACAAAATCATAAAGAATTGGATCATAACTTCTATCATCGATCGTTCACACTGAAATCATATACAAAAATCGTTCTTAACCTCAACCTAAATCCCTCCCAACAATCCAAAACCAACTCTTAGTATTTTGGTCGTTTATATATAAAAAGAATGCGTTCCTACATCGTTAAATCGTTTACACTGTGCTATTTTAAAAAAAAAAAACTAAAATATTCTTTTTATATTAAGGTCGTGATCATAACAGTATCTTACAAACCAGATTTTATCAAATTTGCGTGCTATATATAATGATGAATTCAACTCGCGCAATAATTTATTTTAAATGTTGGTTGGATTTCATTCAAAATGAATGAAAAAGTCTTCTAAGAGTTGATATATTCAAACAATTTTTTTGGTAAACATCTCCATTATTTTAAATTTTGATATAAAATCTAAAATTCAAAATTTTTAAAAACCTCGTTGAAACATACGAAATTTCATAGTTTCTTCGGCTTGTTTTATTCTAGTCTTTTGCTATTTGGTCTGGAATAAGACAACCATTTGCGTGTGTATTCAAACAAACACACACATACACACATGACGAGTGCTATAAGTTGTGGGCAAGATAAAACTACAATAAAATCATGTCTTTATCAGAGAGCTTTATCTTTCCCAATTTTTAAACTTCAAATGTGATTGTGCACGCCTTAAAGAACCTCTACTTGTAACACTTGCAAACCAAAACAAGTAATCATAATAACAGTTGTTAATAACTCAGATGGGTTATCACCACTTCCTCTATTAAATCTCATGATAGCCTCTAACTTACCGTACCTCAATTGACTACTGCTTCAATACGTTTCTGATACATTAAGCCTTAACCCGTTAACGACCCAGTAACATCCAAATCAGTTTAAATATTATCTGAGTTTTATAGATAATTTAAAAGAAAAAATTATTGAGTTTTATAGATAATTAAAAAAGAAATGGTAGTTGTGAGATGGGTGGATTGATGATGACCTTAAAATTCAAAGAAGTAATGCAATTGGTTGACCCTTTTGCCTTGTAATTGCACATGACCTTACCACCAACAAAAAGAAACTTCTTCCATGTTCAAATCATAATAACGCACCCACCCAATTTCTATCCACACATGCTTTTCTGTTTTTTCCTATTTGTATTCATATACATAATAATTAATTAAAAGAAAATAGTTTTCTATGCTAAATAAACTCTCTTATACGATGGGTTTCGATAAGAACGAGAGTTAAGGTGAGAAGCGTAATAACGGATCTTCATCCTTGGATGTATATTAGGATGAGATGCATCAGATCTGTATCAAGCACGATTAATGAATGGGTTTGGGATCAATTCCCTTCTTACGCTTCTCACTTTTATCTCTCTTTCTCACATGGTTTTCGCCTCTGGTTATATATGTCAAAATTACTTTTTTTTTTATATCTTTAATGTATTGATTTGTTCATTGCAGTCGGAAAAGATGGTTTGCCGACACCTTGAATATTTTGATCGAATGCTTGTCATATATTTTTGTAGCCAAAGGTTCAACGAGACAACTGCTCTAGTTTTTAGTTAGAGATTAGGTCTGCTTATATCTCATCTCAGCCACAATACCAAACATCTAGTGAAATTTATTGGGTCTGTCTATTTGGTTATATTTTCAAACAAATATTAATTATGTGAACTTTTTTTAAAATTTTAATCAGATTATTTATCATAATAATCAATAATGTCGGTGATTTTTTTTTTCATCTTAGTTGTACTATCTTTATTAATCAAGTTGGTTGGTTTATGGTATTGTACGCCTTACAACTAATGAGAACTAAACTTGAATCTTGTTATCTTGGTTTTTAAGTCAGTTGATTAAGTGCCAAAATTGACCCAATTTTATCGGTTCATCTGATGCTATCAATTGTTTCTTTATATTATTTTACCATATTTATGTAATTAAAAATCTGGATCATGAGTAATGTTTAATAATAATCATGTTCTTCGTAAAGATTGTAACAATTTTTATAAAATTGCAAAATCAATGGTTGCTTTAGTTTAAATTTATTTTCACAGTTAATAGCCCTTAGTGTATTTTTCTTTCTTTTAGCTTTACGCTATGTTTGACAAAATAACTGATAAATTAGTTATCACCTTATAAGTTACCTGGTAGCTGATAAGATAGTTGATGAATAAATCATGTTTAACAAAACTAGATGATAATAATGTAAAATAACCAAAAATGATACCTTGAAAAATTAATCAATTATAATATTTCAAAATATAATCAAAACAAATCTCTAATAATATAAAATCTTAAATAACACAAACAAGATGGTAAAAAGATTAAAAA